CGAGATTTTTTTATTAAAACAGTGTACCTTGGCTCAAAAAAGGTTGAAAAACACTGCTCTAAAATAGCAACATTTAGTGGTTCAATGTACTAAAGTTGATGTGAATTAGGTTGATAACTTAATTTAAATCATGAGTTTGTGCTTCATTCATACCATTTTCATTCAAGCTCATGTTCTCCAGTGAAACATGGAGAACATGGTTTCATTGTTATTATAGAGGAATTTAAAGGTGCTAAACTCATGAAATACATAAATAAAGAAACAATACACAAACTCCATTCTCTCCGGCTCATAGACAAACAGGAAGACATTTAATGCACATCTGCGGATTCACACATTGCATTTTCATCGTCTCACTTTCATCATCTCAGAATCCAAAATTTCTTGTCTCTTACTTCTGACATCAAGTTTTTATACCATTCCAGCCCTACTGTTGTGTATTGGAAAGCTTTGACCAATGGCGTTACCGAACCTTGCTTGCATAGCAATTCTGGCTCCGTCTTACACTGGATGTGTGTTGGAAGTTCTGAGAATTAAAGGTTGACCTCCTGGAAATCAATTCTGCTCCATCAGAAGAACTATTAGTCAAGTTGTTAGTTCTTTATCTGTCCAAACAAAGATTCTTTCCTAGTCCTGGCCGACTTCTTCGCACGCAAGCAGGAAAATATGTTTTCCAGACGTTTCTTGCACAAGAACTTAACCTTTCCTTCTTTGGTTTTATAATATATACAACATATATATATTATAATTATAATATATATAACATATTATGTATTATAATTATAATATATGTATAAAATATATATTATTTATTATAATTATAATATGTATAACATATATATTTATTATAATTATTAGTATTATTACTATTAGTTTCCCGCAAAAACGTGAAGAAAGTGTGACAACTTTGCCGAAACATGTTGTTTGAGCTTTCACGGTGTCCGTAGTTCCTCAGACAAGCGCGCCGAACAAGCGCGTGCTTGCTACTCGCGTGCTTTTTCAGTGCTCATCACGAGCACGCGCCTATTTTGCCGCGTGGGCGGGGCGGAGCGGCAAGAAGACGAAGGGGGAACCGTATCTGATGGGGAAACGCGGATTGACGTAACATAATCGACAGCTGCTGCTAAAAACAGTAGCAAACCCCCTAAAATAAACAAAAAATTGTCTTCTGTAGGGTCCTGCAGAGTTTTGTGTTTTTTAATCGCCAAGAGAATCAATCTTTTCCCAACTTTTGTCATGTTCACTTCAGCCTGACAAATAAAAGGCGGTCACCAAACATTGTTTTCCAACACATTGTGTGTGTTTATAATATTTCGTTGCTGGTATAAGAGGACGGATGATAGCAGGACAAGAACTTTCTCGTGTAATATGGAGAACTGGATGAAAAGTAGTTCCTATTGCGGTTATTCTTAATGTCGTTTAACGGTCTAAAATAGTAAATCCTCGGATTTGTGTTAAATAGGAAGGAAACTCACGCCCTTTGTCAGCGCTCTCCAGAAATAGGTCAGAGACTGGATTGGAGGTCAGATGATAAGGGGTGTTGGGGTCAACGTTGGAACCCTCATTGTTATAGTCCACATTTCTGAGACGGACATTGGGATCAAGGAGATGTCCAGCCAGGCAGGCAAGATCTCTGGGTTTGATTATTGTAGCCATGCGATGTATTTCAGCACAGTGGGACACATTTCATTGCAGAGGGCCTTCAGTTTTGTGGCAAACTTTTTTTTCTTTTTTTTTTTTTGGTTGAGCATCCATGTTTCTGCTCTCTGCTGGGAGAGGACGTAGACTGCAGGGCGGTCTTGAATCGGGCTGATGATGAAGCTTTGCTACTTTTCTCCGTGGGAGGAGGCGGTGCTGTCTTTCCAGGGTCTTGTGGGGCGTTGGGATGGCTCTTCGGACCGGGGGACGGGAGTCCAAATCCAGATCTGCCTGGTGAGCCTGGATCTCCACCTGGGGAGTATGAAAAGGGGTTGAAGTATCCCTTTGTCTTAAAGGGGAAAGGGCACCCGCATTGTCAGTGTGGCCCGCTTTTTTTTCCTATCCATTTTTCATCAAGCTGTGTTTACACCTGTTTCAATTGTTTTATACTTGATCTTCCTCCTTTAGGAACGTCATAATTCTGCTTTCAGGATGCAAAACAGTCGTTCCCATTTTTATTTTCAGTTTCTTTTTTGCCAGTAGGTCATAAATATAACTGCTAGGCCCAGGATCAGTATTCAGTTATGCCGCATAAACTGAACAGGACATCATTGTGAGGTAACGCAAAAAGTATTGTGAGGGAACTCAAACGTTTTTGAGAGAGAGAGCAACTAAAATGACAACTAGGAAGGTAGAGAGAGACCACAAGTTACAGTTGGGTGTAAAACGATATATAAACCCCAGTCAAGCTCATAATAACACCCATCCCAAGCTAAAAGGTACATTTCATGTTCTGAACAATATTGTGAATATTGTGCATGTATAAGATCTTTCCAGTTTCATGCATAAAATTAAATAAGATAAAAATAAATAAAAAGGCTGGTAATTAGAGGAAAGAAAAGCATTGTTACTGAAATGTTTTCTCTTTTTTGTTGGAGTAAGAAGAGCCTAAGAGATATTTATAATCTTGCATGTTGTGATTTAATGTTGATTATGTTTTAAGAATCGTGATGATTATGAATTATTCATAAAGGATAAGAAGAAAGATTCTGATTATGAAGTGTATTACATTGTAACCTTAGTGCTGTAAGTAGGCCAAAGGTCAGTTAGAGTCTAGACGCATCTTTCTCGCGCCCAGCTTAAACAGAATGCCCTCTAAATTCTCATCTGTAGTAATACTCAGGAGTTAGAGGCTTCTCGGACCCGTTAGGTGGACAGCTGGTCAGTTGTCAGTCTGCTGGAGTCTGAGGGTAGGTAAGTGGGTTTGGCTGACTATTGTGTAATAACAGTATGTAAAGCTATCATTAGACCTTCTAAAGGGCAAGGTATGCTAAACTGATGGGAAGCAGCTCACGCTTCAACAACACATTACTTATAATCCTCACAATGAACAGTCCTCGGTGCAAAATATAGCCAAGATGTCCATGTAGCCCTGTTGCAATAAACAATAAATAATCACATGATCAATTAAAACTTCATAATTAATTTCATTTGTTTGAATATTTAATATGTCGTCCAGTACCAGTGTTAAATATTCAATAGAATTTAAAGTTTACTAATGTGGTCTCGCATTATTATAACATTACCATTGTATCACCTGAAAATGGTCTCAAAACAACAATATTATGATTTATCACAATAAATACTGGAACAATTTATCTTCAAGCAAAATTTGTCATCCTGACAGACCTATGTTCATGTGTTTCCTACAGAAGAGCAGCAGCGGCTGGTGGTTAAAGAAGAGGTTCCTGAACTGAGCAGTTCTGGTTTGGACCAGCAGAACCTCTCATGTTCCCAGGTGAAGAAGGAAGAAGAGGAACAGTGGATCAGCCATTCTGAGAAGAATGAAGACGAAGAAAAACCTCAGTTGTCAGAGGTTCATCACATCAAACGTGAAGACAGCAGAGAGACAGAAGCTCCAACCAGCAGTTCAGCTGAACAAATGCAGACAGAACCTGATGGAGAGATCAGTGGAGGACCAGAACCCAACAGAGAGCTGGATTCAAATCCTAATTTACAGTCAAACATTGAAGAAAGGCATTCGTCCTCTTCTGAGACTGAAGTCAGTGATGAGAGCGAAGATGATAATCTATCAGGTTCTGAATCTGAAAATGAAGACAGTGATGACAGTGAAGATGACAACCTGTTAGGTTGTGGATCTGAAAATGAAGACAGTGATGAAGATTGGAGGGAACCCAGAACACGTCAGTCTGGTGTAAACAGCAAAGTGGGACGTAAAGCTGCCAAGAAGGCCTTCAGCTGCCCTGACTGTGGTAAACAGTTTGTGAGGAAGCAGATGTTCCAGAAACATATGGCAGGTCATTCAGGAGAAAAGTCTTCCAGCTGCTCGGTTGAGAAGAATCACTCGAGAGGGAAGCAAAACGGTGATGCACAGAAGGGACTTAAACCTGAAAGGAAATCCTTTTCTTGTGACGATTGTGGTAAAACCTTTAAGAAGCATGTTGCTCTTAAATCTCATATGAGAGGCCACCGTGTTAAAAAATTAGTTGTTTGTGAAGACTGTGGTAAAAGCTTTCACTGTCAGGCTCAATTAAAAAATCACTGGAGACTCCACACAGGAGAAAGACCATTTGCCTGTGATAAATGTGGCAAAACATTTAGCCAGAAGTATTGCCTTCAAAGTCACCTGGTGTGCCACAGAGTGAAGAAAAACCATTTGCATGTAATGAATGTGATAAAAGGTTTAGCCGGAAGATATACCTTAAAATGCACATGACCATCCATAAGGGAGAAAAACCATTTGCATGCAGCGACTGTGGCAGATGCTTCAGACTTAAGAGTGATCTACAAACCCACATACTAACCCATTTGGATATAAAACCATTCATTTGTGGGTATTGTGGTGGCAGATTTAGTCGCAAAGCAAGTTTGCGTCTGCATGTTAGACTCCACACTGGGGAGAATATGCTGTCATGTGATAAATGTGATAAAAAGTTTGTGCGGAAGGCTCACCTTCAGAAACACATGGGATTTCATGCAAAACTGGAGAATGTGAGGTCTGGAAAGGGTTGCTTTGCTTGTGAAAAATGTGGAAGAAGGTTTTTGAAGAAGTCTCATGTTGAAAGACATATGGTCGTTCACACAGGAAAGAAACAATTTAAATGCAATATTTGTTTGAAGACGTTTACTAGAGGTGAGAATCTGAAGAATCATAAACTGAAAATTCACAGTGAATAGACATTTCAGTTCATTTGGAAAGATTTTCTGTCAAAATGCCACAGCAGTTTGCATTTTGTCTCCATTTACCAACAAATATGCAAAAAAAAAATTGCTTATAAAAGTTAGAGATTGTAGTTTTAAATGTGACATGAATCTCATTACATCTTCTCAATGTGACTCATTCCCAGTTAATACTGTAGGACCATTATACACATATTCTGGGATTGTCTGAATGTGACTGCTGTCTGTAAAAATCCACCACTTTGGGTGATGTGCTACAAGTGGATATCTCTTATTCACCTTTTTTACTCCTTCTTAATGATGTGGCAACAATGGACCAATTCTTATCTATGTATTGTCATGATAGAGAGATCAGCACGAGGATGAATGCGACCAACAGGAAAACAATGAGGGCATGGGATGCGGGTTACTATTTGGTTAAAGCAGAAGTGCAACACAATTCTCTGTGACCTTTTTATGTGACTGTACGATATAGTTTCAGTTACGACTTATACTGAATTTGAGGTTTTTCTGAGCTGTAAGCCTTAATCATCACAAATACAAAAAATAAAGGTGTGCTGTTTTTCATGCCTTGTGGAATTTATTTAATATGTGATTTTCCTTCTTGAAATAAGTGACTAATATATTTAACTTCAAGATATTCTGTTTTTTATTTGGTGTATCGAATAAAAGAAGAAAAAACATTTGCATGCAGCAACTATGGAAGATGTTTCAGACTTAAGGATGTTCTAAAAAGTCACATGATAACCCACTCAAATGTAAAACCATTTGTCTGTGGTGATTGTGGTGCTACTTTTACTCGGAAACAAAGTTTACTCCTGCATGTTAGACTCCAAATTGTGGAGAATCAGTTGTCATGTGATCATTGTGATGAAAAGTTTGTCCTTAAGAGTCGCCTTCTAAAACATATGCAGATTCATCAGAAGGAGGAGAAAGTGGTGGCAGGGAAGGGAAACTTTGCTTGTGGGGAATGTGGAAGAAGGACAAACCTTCTTTCCTGTGTGTTTTTCACACGGGAAGAAAACCATTTAGATGCGATGTTTGAAGTTGTTTACACAAGCGGAAACTCTGAGGAATCACAAACTGAGGATTCACAGTAAATAGATTTCATACTGAACATTTGCTTGGAAAGACTTTCTGTACAAACGCCACTGCAATTCAGATTATTTTGCTTCCATTTGATCAAGATTAGTTTTAGCATTTTGAGTTTGACATGATCTCTGCTTCATCGTAAGTAGAGCAGTGTCTGGTATTAGCAAATAATGGGGAAAATGCCTCTGTTCGGGGGTAAAATGATTTAGGCAGCTCACTGTGAGTGAGACATGAAGTGGATTTTAAGTGTACTTTCTTTATATCATGTATTTCTATTTTTAACGAATGCAGAAATAAGGAATTTATTTTTCAATAATGTGTATGCAGCACAAAAATGTTACAAAAAATTGTAAAAGAATTCCCTTATTTTTAGATTTATTTTATGTCAAACTTCTTTTGTCTTAAGTTTTCTTGCGCTAAATAGAGGTTATGGTCTGTAAAGTGTCAGGCTGACGCAATATGAGGATGGACACCAGAAGAGTTGTCTCTGTTGGCAACAGTTAATCATCTGAGGCCTCATTTACTGAAAAACAGAACTGTGGTCATACACACATTAGAAATCACAGTAACACCAGCTTCTTTAGGAGTGACTTTTTGTGTTTAAATGTTTGTTTTTCTGAACATCTGTTCAGTCAGCAGTCCTCCCTGTGATTGTGTAGTTCACTGAATGGAATATAGAAAATAAAAGTTTCACTTTCTAGAACGACAGTCAAAAAATATTCAACTTCCTGAAGGTATTCTTTTTTTTAAGATGTAGTACATATCTACGTTTTCAGTTCAGTCACGTTTAATACCTGAATGTTGTAGGATCCTAATATGTCCATCAGATGGCAGCAGTGAGATACAAGGCAGCGTGTGGCTGTGAAGATGCCTGATCAAAATCCTTCTGCGTCCATAATGTGAATCAGAACACAAAACAGGAAAACTACGTGCTAATTGCTTCAAGTATATGTAATTAAATATAAAAATGATTAATAATAGATTAGTCATAGTTTTCGAAAGGAGAGGAATACCAATGATCTAACAATGTGCTTAGAGCAGGAAATCAGGAGAGCACAAGTAAACAAAAATAAAAATAAATATTGCAGCTGTATTATTGAGTTTAAAACAATCATCCAGAAAGTGGGGCTGATATTTTATTGGACATACTTTTTGTATAAATACATAATATACAATATTATGTATTTAGAAAACATAATATTTGTTTAACAATAAAATTCATGTGGGTACCAGCACATTTGAGTAAAATGAAATGAGAGTGCAGATAAGACAGCAAAGAAGGAAAGTCAAAATACCATCTGCAGCTTCATAGTAAAAACAAGCATATCAGACAGAAAGAGTGTCATTAAACAAAATCCAGTGAAATAATTGGAAATAAGGTGAGATGGAAATAGATGGTTTTATAAAATTTTTATAAAATCCTAAAGGCAGTAGGTGAAATCAGAACTGGGAGAAGAAATACAAAGGATGAGAGGCAAATAAGATTAAGACTTGGATACGCAGGACTTAAAATTATACTTTTAAAATAAAAAAGCATAATACAGTGAAATGTAATGTGGAATGGAAGAAATCATAGAACATGTTATATTAGACTGTCATAAAGATTTATAAAGAGAGAGAGTTTGGAAAAATAAAAAGTTTAGTGTAATAGTACCACTAAAAAATAACTTGTATTTGTTATCATTAGCTTGTTAAATAAATCAACATTGATTATTGGAATTTGATTACATACCGGTTTTTGATTTTTATGTGTACATGATACTTTCAAGAACCACACTCCGAACCAGTAGGTGGCGGTAATGCCCACTTTAAGTTTTCTTGCCATCTGCAGGAAGAACAACTTGAATCTACCAGATTTCTTGTGAGTGTAAGCTTTTCGATTCACAGTGTATCCTTATTCTCCAGAGAAGCCAAAACATTAGGATGAAGATTACGATGGAAAGTTGCAGAACTGGAGAACAATGCAGCTTCGTTGACTCTGTGAAGGAAGAGAATGAAGGTACATCCCTTCATTTGATCATTTTTCAAATAATTGTGATCATTAGAATCGATGGAAGCACGAGGTAAACAGGAAAGTGTTTATTAGGGTAAATCCTGCGCCAAGCATGTATACTGAGAGCTACTACCACTATAGACACAAACACCTAGATATCGCCAAAAGTCTTAAACCTTGTGTAAAAATGAACAGGATATTGCAAAACCACAGAAAGAGGTCTTGTGTGAAATTCTGTTCCCTTGTGTTGACCCTGTGTCGGGAGCGCGCACTGCAGCCGAGGTTTAATGCCGAGAAACTCATGCGCTGCCCAGTGACCACTTCCGCCTGACAAATAAGAATCAGTCACCAAACTCTGTTTTCCAACACATTGCACGTGTTTAGAATTTTTAATTTCTCATAGCCACATGATAGCAGGACAAGTAAAATTAGACTTCCTGAAAACATAAAAAAAAATCCCGTTCTAATGTAAAATATGGCAGTTTACTGGATGAAAGATATTTCTACTTCCTTTTTTCATTATTAATGGCGTTTATAGGTCTAGAATAAGTCCTAGCATTTGCATTACATGCCTTAAAATATAAGTCTAT